AAAAATTATGGTATTCAAGTAATTTAACTTTCGCTTTAAAATTTACTTCATCCTTGCCCTTAATTCCTGTTTATGACTGTCATATTAGTCAAAGGCGAATGGATATATTTGCATTTTATCAAAACACAGGGAGAACTCTGTAAAGTTTTACACAAAACATATCGGTTCAAATGTGTTTCATAACATTGGCTGATTTAACAAATCGTTACGTTTCAATTCAGATCTAGATAAGTTATATGTATGAGGGTATTTAACCCGTCATACTCCTGATAGTGTTCTCATGACTTTCGGGTTGTCTGATCTACCAAGGGCGATGGGATAATGCATGACGCTATTGTTTTATGCTAGGTTCAAAGAGGGTTATGTACTATATGCGTGTTATCCGCTCCGTTATTGTTCCTACTCGCCCCCAAATGTCCTGGCACAGCCAAAGGTGAGGAGAGTCCACTTTTCACTCTCAAAATGCTCTCACATGGCCACACGTATACAGCCACTGATAGGGAAGTCCCACTCACTGTATTCTCGCAGCGGATGTATTGTTTAGCGAAACTGAGAGGACGGAAAGCAAATGTCCGGCGCATTAACCGGGTCAATGGGTACGGAGAGTCCACCTGGGGGAGTTAGGAAACCCTGATTTCAAACCGATGGTGCAAATAGGCTATAGAATCTTGAGAGGACAAATAGCGTATGAACTTATTGTTGGTCATAGGCTACCATGGGACGGCATCTCCTAACGTTGCTCCACTACCTTGTGGATTGGACCTCTACGTTAAAGGATCGGGAAGTGACCTCCTAAGGACACCGCCTGCTTTGGTTTGGGCATTCAGGTAGAATCACAGCCCACATACAAATCAATGATAATTACTACTTGAAAAGTTACTCTTGTTACAACGCTCATTCAGAAAAGTCATGTTCACAATCATTTGGTAACATTCATTTTTTGTTTCTTTTGTATTTCGTCGCTTATGTACTCCTTATTCTCACTTTGCGTGTTTTATTTTCCAACGTATACAGAAGTTCGCCTATGGTGGGAACCTTGTCCTATCTAAACGATCTCAAGTCACCGACTGGTCGAGAGTTGAATGCTACCACCGATTACGAATACTAAAATAGTCTTTCTAGAACCACGTATGCCATTCAAACTGGCCTCTTTCAACGTTTACATACTAAAGCAGATCAGACAACAGATAGGGTTGGCTATATCTTTAGAAAGCTTCAACATCGATGTCTGTTGTGTATCCGAGACCTGTATTCAAGATTCTAGTAAAGTACTACAAATTCGCCCTCTATCTGCCACTTCGTAAAGCTTGTTTTACTTGCGTTTATCCGGGGACCCTGTGGCATCTTCGCCTGATTTTGCTGGTGTTGGTGTCGCACTAAATACTAAAGGTGAAACAGCACTGATTTATTGGATCCCAATTAACAGTTGGTCATGTGCTGTTAGACTAGGAAGTTCAATAAAAGTGTGAAGAAATCATTGTGAGAAGTGATATCTTTTCGTCGTCTTCGCCTATGCTCCGACAGATTGCAGCTCGGATGCGATCAAGAATGAGTTTTACCATTAGTTAACTGTTCTTCTGAAGAAAGTGCGTTCGACAGATATTGTAGTACTGGCCGAAGATTTGAATGCTCAGGTTGGGCATCTAGGCACAGAGGAGAGTCGTTTAGATGGCCGATGGGGACTTGACGCAGGTCAGGTAATGATAACCGTCTACTGCAACTTTGCGCAGATTCAATCTCTTTCTGGTTAGCACTAACTACCAGCGCAATAATCGCCGAAGTGCTACTCGGCGAACTCCGTCTGCATCTCAAACTTGGACTAGGACTGATCACATAGCGATTAGCTACCGCTGACGTGGTTGTGTACAAGACTATCGCTTCTTCTGGAGTACCTATCTGGACTCTGATCTTGCACTTGTTTGCGCTAACCTTACCTTACATTTCAGTGGCCGACAAATGCATTGTCCTAAACTGACCGATGTCAGTAAATTGGTTGCAGCTCCTGTTGCAACTAAATATCAAACTAAATTAAGTTCAAGGCCAGCTACCAACCCACCTAAAAGCATAAACGAGTATTAGTTGCAATTGCATGGCACCATGAAAATGGAGAGTAAAGTAGCTTGCATCTTTGCGAAACATCCCACTTTCAAGCACTGGGTGTCTACAAGCCCCTTACAACTCATTGTATCACGTCGGTATATTGCGGGTGACCGCGAGTTTGACCATAAACGAAGATTGTTACCCAATGAAATGGTGCAAAGTTTGCGTAAGGACCGAGAAGCCTGGTGGTCGGAGCTTGCTAACGAGTTGTAAGCAGCTGCTGAATCTGGGAACTTCTAGAGGCTTTTTCAAATTATCCGACTCACTGGTAGCAAGGAGTCTGGTGTGAGTGGAGCAATCTGTGAAGCTAATGGAACGCCAATCAGTGACATGTAGCGACATCTTGGACGATGGGCAGTTTAACTGATCTGATGCCCCCGGACATCGACCAAATTGTCCTACACTCAATGGTCCGTGATAACTGATCCATCTAACGAAGTGAAGTCTGCTTGGGACTCCGACTCTTGAAGCGCCACGAGTCACCAGGCCCAGATGACTTACCTCCGGCCCTTTTAAAAGATAGTGGCGACTTTCTGGTTGCGGTACTGACTTATTTACAAAGGTCCGGTAACTAGAGAGTGTTTCAACATCGTGGAATAAGTCGGTTGTTGTTCCTATCTTTAAAAAAGGTTCACTACTTTTATGCAACAGCTATCGGTGGATAAGTTTACTTCCGATTGCGTCCAAACTATTGGCTTACGCCATACTTCATAGATTGTTCAAAACCCAAGAAATATTGACTCATGAGAAGCATGCTGGTTTTCGTTTTGGTTGAGGATGTATTGATCATATCTTCACACCACCAAATGTTAGAACACTGCCATACTTATCACAGGCCAACAATCTTAGTGTTTCTTGACATTAGGGACGTCTTCGGTTTGTTGGAGAAGACTGTTCTATAGAAGAAGAATGTGTCTGAGTTTATTAACAACTTAAAATCTTATATACTAACACCTCACAGTGAGCGCACATAACCGTCTTACTCCACTGGTACATTAAATCAATGAGGCTAAGCACAGTTTCCCAATCTCACCATTTTTCCTCGACTTTGCTATCGATGACGTTCCAGAAACAGCTCTGGTAGATGTAGGTAATGGTGGTGTGAATCTGCTTCTTGAAGAACGACCTTGAGTATGCGAATGATCTTGTCTCACTGCTCGATGATATTCAAGCTATGTAATCAGCATTTTATCAGTTGGCATCCAGTGTCCGTAGTTATGACGTGTACTTTGCACCCTCCAAGTGCAAAGCACTTCTACAAGACTGACAGGATTTTAATCCTGCACTCACCCTCGGTAATGAGCAGATGGAAGTAGTCGAGATGTTCGTGTATCTGGGTAGCTGCATATATGCTGGTGGTGGCGTGAGTGATGAAATCAGTTCACATATACTGAAAGCCGGAGCGTCTTATTCTAATCTGGGCCATCTTTGGCGTCTTTGTGTTGTTAGTCTGGCTGTAAAAGGTCGGACCTACAACTCGTTGGTGAGAGCAGTTTTGCTCTGTGCTTGTGAGACAAGGTCTCTCCGAGTTGAAGATGTTAGACTACACTCTGTGTTTGATCACCGTTATTTCTGAAAGAATGCTGACATCTAGTGGCAATACCATGTTAATAATGCAGAGGTTTGGCATTGACAGCGATAGCAGTCCAATTAGTGTCATTATCTGGAAACGTCAACTTCTATGGTTCGGATATGTTCTACGAATGTCGTTCCAGAGAATTCCACGTCGTGTATAATTTGCTGGCACCGAAACCGGTTGAGAAAAGCAGAGAGGTGGTCGGCGTATGACACGGTGTCGTGGTATGAAAGAAAGCTGTACAGGACTGGCTTCTGTTGGTCTTTAACGACGTCCTGTTTGAGGTCCTAGAGATACTGGCACATAATGGTTCATTACAGAAACCAGTGGAGACCCTGTTGTAAATTTCTTTTACTTTCTTAGCGAAAGTGAACGTAACTTCTTTACCTGGAAGAATTCTTTCTGGTTGTATTTTTACTAACAGAACCGTTTCTGTAATTATCATTATCTTGCTGTCATGCACTAACTTCTGTTTGTTGTTGTTCTTTGTATTATGGGTACTTTACATTCTATATCCCTTTACAACCTCTTTGTTGTTGTGTGGCACATATATTTAGTGCCCCTTGTACCAATGTATGTGCGTTTAAATAGATAAACATACGTGTGGAGTAACTAATTTTTGTAATACCTGACACTGTTATTTCATTCATAGACGATTGATAAAATTGGGATACCAGTAACATTCACTAATCTCCACTTATCCCCATACTGTTAGTATTTTCTATTGTTGAGAAGTGTCAAGAAAATTACAAACCTTGCAGATAAATAGACATACAATAAGATCAAACACAACTGGGGAATCAGTTACTTTGATGTGAGTCGTCGATACTGTGTAACTTTAGTGAAATAAAAATGAAAGATGTTTAGTTAACAGTTTTCCTTCAGATATATATGTAATGTAAACATAATTTAACAGATGTAACCTTCCATAAAAAAGATTAATTCCAGTTTCAAACACCAGTTTGAATCTGGAGCTTCTGTAAATACTCCCATGATCGGTATACACAGTTCAGTCGTTCAAATATCAAGAATTGTACCAGACATAAGTCTCAGTGCAAACCTTAACAGAAGGAGTCATGTATATGCATTTGATGAGTACTAAATGGGACAAAATTATCGTCTCGCATTTCATTCAGACCGTTGCTTAAAGTATATAATTAAACTTGCAATCGAAGGGTAACACAAAACCATGAGCTCAATGTGTATATCATACTATCAGAGACTGACTAAAACTCATCTCTGAATATCAGCAACAGAAAAACAAAAACACTAATGAATGACTACATAAACGTCTTTTCATAAATTCATGCCAAAAATAGCTCACTTTATCAACTAGACATGGCAAATTTAGTGAATTGGTTGAGAACCCCATACTGAAAACTATAGCTGCTTCTTGTCCAACAAATTCAGCAACCAAATCTTCGAGTTCTTTGTGTAATATTAGGCTTCCGGCCTCTTGTCTAGAACTCGCTACACCTACACCAAACTTTTTTGTGGCTTTTTCCGTATTATTAGTACAAGGTCCCGTAGGATCTCCAAATCCCAAATAATTATATGATCCCAAGTTTAAAACCTTTGATTTTGTTCCTGTAAAACTGAAATGAACGATAGAAAAACAAATGTAAGCACTAAATAAAGGGTGTAAGTTTGTTTTACATACGACAACTCAATCGAAAGCAAAAGTAATAAACAATACAAAATTTATATGGAAATCACTATCATCAACATTACTATCCAAATGTATATATACGACAACCTGATAATAAAGCAGTATTGTATGAACCCACAAATAATTTAGAGGAAACATTTGAATTTATTCACAAAGATCTGCTATTGTAGCGTGTCTACTTGGTTTCCATGAATAAAATGAAACTAAATCGAGATTGTAGTTGAGATCAAAACATACACATTTATGACAGGATTCAAAATGGTACTTTTCAGGCTGCCAAATGCGTTTTTTACCAAACGGCCTTCATACTTAGAGAAATCTCAATAAAACCTTTGTCAAGTCTTCATAAAGTAAAAGATAATAATGTAGAAAATACAGAGTTATGCACATCACCTATAAGTGCATGGAGTCATGCAAGTAAAAACCATCAGAAATTTGATTAGTGTTGACCTTAATTGGTGAATAATAGTTTTATACAAGTGATAACTTCTGACAGTAAATAAATCACGTACTAATCAAATACTACTTTCCTCATATACTTGGTTCCATGTCTACCAATCAGGAAATAAGATGTATCAATTTAGCTAACAAATTTTCTTGTATTTGCAGTATTAACAGAAAACTGTTATCGAGGGCATACTAACCCTTATTTTAGATCACTATCGGGTAAGTATGTATCAAGCTTTCATATTTCGTAGGTCTACTACAATACCATCAGATAATTGATACATAATAAACTATCTAGATTTTTAGACAATTTGTTTCTCTGTTTGTAAAGTTCAGAAAATACTTGGCTGACTTTCTTATTCCAACCCCTACCAAACGTCCTCAATATTTCACTGAGAAGGTTTTTAAGTAGTGAACTGTTTACGGCTAGCCGGACTAGGAGCTCTAGAAAACGTAAATCCCATTTGGTATCAGAATTCTAACTTACGCTCGACGCTGTAGATCCTAAATATGCCATCTCTTTAAATTAAAAACCCGATTTGGATTATTCACTGATAAGTTTTTCCCGTGAAATCTTTTTTCGTTCAATATATTCACGTACGTTCTCATTAAATAATAAAACATTAGCTTAGTAGTCTTCTAAACTTTCCAAACCTATAACGACCTCATATATAGCAAGAAAAACACGTAAACTAAACAGTAAGAAATTATAATGAATTAAGCTTTCAGTTTATTAACTCGAGTAAAATCTTGACCTTTCATCTGAAGTTGTTTGAAAAGGTGTGCTTGTTAAGTCTATCTTCTAAAAGAAACTGTCATCAAGAGGTAATTTGTATGCCTTAAAGTTCCATAATCCCCACACCACAGTTGTGTAACTATGGTTTGACGATTATTCTAAATTCATTACAGATCATTGAGGGTTGAATCTTCTTTCTCAAGTACATTTTCAATATAATTTTTTCATAGTTATTTCATTCAAGGTTGACCAAACAAACGATCTGTTTGTGTAGGATGATGTGAGGTTTGGTCACCACATGCTTTAATATGATCCTCCTTGGTTTTCATACTACTCTGAGATGCTTTTAATTGAACTGCAATTAAACTCATTATACTTATGGTCGTCGGTCGAATGATACATAGGCTATTTTTTGTAATAAAAAACAACAGGTTGCTTGTCAAAGTTAATGCTTTTTCACTAAAGTGTCTCGAACCTCCATAATATGTAGTTATCAAACAGTACAACTACGAAATGAAGCAAATATTTTCTGGATCTCCGACTTCAGGGATACTATTAATAATTTTTTCTATGACAAAAGAGCACTGATTATCAGTATCTGAAATTAAATCAGAGCATATATGGCGTTTTAATATCACTTAGACACGCACAAATCACTGTTATCTGTAATATCTAAAGCCATTTATTCAACCGTATCTGCTGAAACAACTTCTTAAAACTCAAATTTGCAGATATATAACTCAATGGAAAAATTTTTATTGATAGTTTAATTAAGCTGTTAATAAAAATTTTACCACACAAGGCATACTGATAACATATGAAAAAATACTGCAGAACACGAATACATTATATCACCAGAAATGTTTGAACACATAGAGGTTAAAATAACAATTTAATCAGAACGCTGCCAAATATTTTTAGCCACTAACAATCAAAAAACATATTTCACCAACGAAATGGAGAAAATAACTAAATCATTGCAACTGATGACCAATAAGTGAACGTTTTCGTAAAACCCAGCGAAGAAATTCATTTCTAGGATTACAGTCTTTTACATATAAGAAAAAAACATGTTGAAAAACGAAGATTTTCAAATTTATTAGAAATGCATGTGTATAGAAAATGGCAATCATGACAGCTCAACTTTACTTACTTCAACGTCCATCCATAGTCTGGTGATTTACGATCCATCACTACAATTTCACTACCTGGAGCAGAACAAATAGGTCTACTCCAACAGTCTTGTGCCCTTCGGTACAAATTGCGTGTATAAAAAGCCTCATAAGACGAGTAAAGCGGGACGAACGATTTAGTTTGCGATACTTCTGTTACTGAATGATTTTCTAATACATGAATAAACCTCAGGAAATCTTGAAGCCTCCCCAAGATGTTTAATATCAGAAAGCTTAGATACGTAAGTACGGCTGTAATCAAAGGCGCTCCCTCGAAAGACTCATAAAATTCCTCTCCTGTTCTAGGGCGTCGAAAATTTTTCATTTTTTCTCCAAGTTTATAAGCGAAATTGACAAACAAAAAGCACCCCTATGTTAATACCCGCGTCACTTTTCGAGTTGACTGTTGCTTAGCGAAAACTACACATTATACGTTCAAACAAATGTTTTCGAATCTCCTATAAGCATTTAAAAAGGCAAAAGTCTTTTCAATTTTAAGACGGTGCGACTTTCTGGAGATAAAGAGTTTTCTCATTGTAAGTTAAAGTCATCAAAGAGCCTTGGATTCAGAAACGTGCTTCGACCTCCAAACAACAAGGTGCTGAACCTGAACTCACCGGGAAACCTGGGAAAACAACAAGTATTCGTGATGGCTCTCTCATAATCATTAATCTAAAAGACAACCCTGACCTTCCTCCTAGTCTGCAGGACAAAAATGACAGGATGCTCTAGGATGAATTGAACGAGAAGCTTGAACTGCCGACATTGAGTATGACAGTCGTATACTGGGAAGACTATCCCGCTCTATGCGTCTCAGTTTCACATATATCCTGATTCTAGGGGACTTCGACCTCCCTAGAGTCACTTTCGCGGGACATACGTATATTGGAGATTAAAACTCAACTGAAGCTCGTTCCTTTAGCCTCATTGAGGATCTGGGATTACTTGAAAATGTGACGTCGGCGATTCGTTGGAGGAACGGTAAGACACCGTCTCGCTTGGAATGTGCATTTACAAACGGAGAAGTTTTAGTTGACAACCTCTCAATCCTGGTTCCCCTGGGGAAAAGCGTTGTAGCCTTCAGTTTTGTAAGCAAAACTGAGCTAAGATATTCCAACAACAACAAGCGCTGGAGTTTCAAACTGTTAAATGTGTAAGCTCTACAGGACTGCTTACAACGGGTGGATTGGCATGTTAACCCTCAACTTGATGTGGATACTCATTGAGACTTCTTACTACACACGGTTGTAGAATTATGGTCCACTATGATATTAGGACTGATCTAATAATAGACCTAAACCCTAAAATTGTAGATTGGTTATGATATAACTGCCTAATCTGTAGGATCTTATGTGGACGTCACATCATCGTCTACACCAACTCACTGCATCATAACAATTACCAAGATAATGGAGAACAAGCTTAGGCTAGAGATAGAACAATATATTTAATGTGAATAAAAGATATGAGGTAACATTCAGCAGAGACCACGCCTGCATGGTAGAGCCATGTCATCCGATCAACTCCAATTCGTTCAATTCATTATCCCCGCCTTTTCTATTCTTAGGTATTTCTCCGCGTTAAATAATGAATATATACTTTCCGAGTAGTCTCGTGTTCAGCTTTGAGGATTGTGTGGTGAGGGCCCAATGCCACTACACGCTCTTATGTGCTACAAAGCAGTCACTTCCTCAAACGGTCCCCAAAATCTACAAGCAACCTACAATTGTCAAGAACCGCACTCTTTGCTTGCTAAGCCGAAAAACGCACTGTTGGGCAGAATACAAACGAACTGACAACAACAGCGCGTACAGACAATACAAAAATATAAGGAACATATGCACGAAGGTCATAAGAGAAGACAGGCTTCAGTACCAGACAAAGCTTATGGATAAATTTGTCTCCAATTCGAAAAACTTATTCCGTTATGCAGCCTCTCCTCGTCAAGCCAAGACTGGGGTTCCCCAACTGCTAGGTCCTAATTGCCCGATCAATAACGACGGCAACGCCGCTAATCTTTTGTCTGAACAATGCTCCCGAACATTGTAACCGACTCACATCAACTATACTGATGAAAACTTCATCTGCAACTGCACAGGACTTTCTTTAGTGAACCTGAGCGCTGACTTGGTGTTTCAGGTACTTCAGTGCCTAATAATAGACACTTCTCCTGGCCTAGATGTGGTTCATTCTGCTATACTGAGCGAAGCAGCTTCAATCCTGGCAACACCGCTTGGTGTGGTGTTCTCATACTCTCTAAGCCGAGGCAAACTACTGGAAAGTTGGAAGCTGGCTCACATCGCACCAATTTTCAAAGAAGGTCGACGCAGCGAATCTTCAAGTTACCGACTGGCGGCTCTTCTCTCTATACCTTCAAAAATCGTGTAGTCCCTGACATACGATGGTTACTCTTGTATGACCAACCTGCTGACTACGGTGGACAGATGGACAAGCATCATTGATCGCAAAAGGGAAGGTTGATATCATTTACCTTGATTTCTCAAAAGCTTTTGATAGGGTTAACCATATATGTCTTATCAATAAGCTCAAACAAGTGGGTATCAGACCACCTCTAATTGATTGGCTCATTTTATATCTGAAAGATCGACATTTTAAAGTCGGTGTTAACTTCAGTTTATCTCAGGCTATGTAATATCCTGGTGGGGTCCCCAAAGGCTCAGTACTAGGACCTCTTCTCTTCTTGATTTATATAAATGATCTTCCTCGACAGGTGAAACTTTGGAGAGAGATACGCAACCAAGTGGATATACGGGCACTTCAGGAGGATCTGACTCGACTTCAAAGTTGGGTAGACGACAACGGACTAACCTTTAACACTTCAAAGTGTAAATTAGGTCATCTGCAACACGTCGCAGACTACAGTTACAACTTAGGAAACTCCTCTCTAGCAGTATCCCTAGTCGAAAAAGATTTGTGAGTCCTGGTACCCTACGATTTGAATTCTCACGCCATGACAAAAATGTCTTTCGAGTAAACCTTGCACCGTAACACTGAAGCGCATTTTCGGCCAGTCTGACGGAAGAGCTTTCCACATAATCTTCAACAGTTTCATTCGCTCCATTTACAGTACAGAAACATAGTATTTCCTCCCTCACTCAAAAAAGATAAGGACACTCTGGAGAATATCCAACGGTGAGCCTTGAAATCAGTTCGGGGTCTAGGGCCAGTGAAATTTTACTGAGCCCTAGCCAAATCGTCCGGCATTTAAGTCATTGGATATCAAGCAAATCACCGATCCTTGTCAAGGCGCATCAGTTGATCGTGCACCATGGACTGGCCCATGCGGCAGTGGTCTTGCTTTCGCTTGTATCTACTTTAACTAATATATTTCTGCAATAACGTCCTCTGTGTTTTACAGTCTTTAATAATTTATGGTACCTTGATACGTCAGTGGGGTAGTCCACGTAAGGTGCTGACCACGAGGTGTGACTTCGACGTTAGCTGGTCCATCACACAATTCCCGTCTAACTCGAGTAGGCCTTCGACCACTTGACATAGATCATCTACGTCAGTGATCTACAGGGGTCTCAAATTTAAACCTTGTGAAAAGCGCCTCCAACCACTTAACTTTTGCCCATTAAGGTATAGGCGTCTTAGGGGTGACCTTCTGATGGTTTACAGTATCCTTGACACTTCTGGACATCCTCTTAAACACCTACTTAAGCTTAATCGCAATATCAACCTAAGGGGTAACACCCAGAAATTGGAGATACAACATAGTAGAACGGACTGCAGACACAGCTTCTACTCCTTAAGAGTTGTCAAATGCTGGAATTTGCTGCCGGCTGAGTTAGTCCAAGTGACATCCCAGGAGTCCTTTAAGAGGAAACTTGATCTATTCTTAAGGACTAAGGATAGTGTCTTACTACGATTTACCAATTTCTTTTTCCTGTTTTATCGTTAATATACCTAGGTTCACACCTGGAGGTATAAGTGATCCCCTGCTACTAGACACGGAAACCTGTTAAGCGAAAGGTTCTTCTATTTCGTCCACAACAATCCGAACCATTTAAATGAGCTAGTTGAGAATGAAAGTGCAAAATACGATATTGGTTTTCAGTTCAGAGGGTTACGAGGTGTGTGTTTTTCCTGTTGCGAATCACTGAATGAATCACAAGTGGCCAAAACATTTCGGTCATTATTCATCATTTGACGATATACTCTCATCATGTTCAAATTACAAGTTAGTTTACTGTTCACTCCTGAGCACTAGTTACGGCAAATTTGTTGAAATTACATCAGGCCTGCTTCCGCCAGACCTAGTGAAGCTAACACGAATGATCTCATCCAGACAAAAAGGGCACATTTCCTCCAGTACTACCTTTTACGCACATTACTGTGAAGTGTATTTCCCTTTCCGCTAACCAGAAATTTGGAAAGGTGATCAGACCGATCTCCACCGGTTTATGCGGGGTGGTGGATTAGCAGGACCATTTATTCGCCGCGCACGTAAGCTCACGGACAGGATCCGGTAACTTGAGGGTAACACATAAAGTCACCGGTCGGTCTATGCCTTGTAGTGTTATTGTGAATTTGTAGAAATGTCATAATATGCGAGACAATCCTGAGAAACTTGCCATTAGTACTTTTCGTTAATTGATTGGCGAAGCTGCTTGGAATAAGATTGTTCTTAATTGCCGATACTGAAACCTACGCGAAATGTTGGATGATAATACTGACAAGCTAGAGCTCTGAACTGATATACATGAAATAGTTTTATGGTAGAACAGTTAAAAAATGTCAACATATAAAACGTATAGTCATTAACTGCACTTCAGTCGACAATATATCATCGTTAAACGCAACTGTTAATAGTTCTGTAACAAAAATATCAAAATGTAATTGTAAACTTTGTCTTCAAAATAACTGTTCACTGTGATCCAGCGGTTATAAAGAGGTCTCACAAATTGATGTAAACAAAGACTCTAAACCCCTTGAAATAGAAATAATCGGAATGTCATATCCCGCTCAATTGAGACCTTAATAATAATATTATAAGAGTGGCGACTTCATGTTATCATATTGCACTTAAAATCGTAAATCGAGTGATGATACAATTTGACTAATGCAAAATAATTAAACAAAGTAAAACAAGAAAGCTCAAAATAATTAGACTGACAAGTTTGTTTTCCAGTGTCTCTTTAACTGGTTAAAACTAATGTATCACAGTGATTGTTACTTACAACCAAAGTACTGATATCACGTCATATTAATGAAGATTGGTCGAAAAACAGCAATAAGCATATGAGAATTTATAGGCAACTAAAGTGATTATCATTTAATCTACTAGATGCAAAGATTCAGAAGGGGTCCGACACTTTTTAGAACATAACGTATGTGTCAAAGCTACGTAGAAATAACAACGAAATCATGTA